CCTCACCTTAAAACTTGGCCCATTAGCTCATTTTCAAAATCCCATTCTTTTAGGATTTTATGTCATGGATTAGAAACCACTCTCTTCTCGGAGCACAAATATTTTTGGTAATGATCCCACTTAAAGTATTCCCATTTTACTGATACCTTCAGGTAAGAAAATTTAGATATGGGTCACAGGTTTCTAAGGCATGGAGGGGGAGTATGGGGGACAAAGGACACAGACTAGGATGAGAAAAAAATTTTATTCCTAATTTTTCATAAGCTCTAGTTATTTTACAATAAACCTATATATAATGGTTAAGATCATCGCAGCCTAACTTTTAGTGTCTTTAAATACTGCAAATAATGGAGAAATTTAAGATGTTGTTTGAAAAAGATTAAAAATAAACCAAGTTGGTAATCATTCTACAGTGTGTATGCATATCAAATCATCACATTGCACACTTTGAATATATTTCTCAGTTATTCCTCAATAAACAAATCAACTTTTTAAAAAATAATCGTTAATAAGTAACAAATATATTACAAAAATGGGATGAAGGAAATATTTGTTATTAGATTATAGGAATAGTTTCAGTTGGTTTTAAATGGCACAGAGAATACAGCTTTCTGATTAAGTCCGTACTCTGGGTGTTTAGTTTGGTAATGGAAGTTACAGAATACCTAGAAATTTAGTTGATATGTATTTCACCTAATAGTTTTCTTTTTGTGGCTTTTTAAGGCACTTAGTGCTGTAATGCATGAGGACACCAAGCTTCATGCATGGAAGGGAACCTTAAAACAACTTAGCTCTGTACTTCCAGGCCTGGGTGATTTTGCTTTTTAGTCTCCAAGGACGGAAAGTCTGTAGTCTCCCTTCTTAGCTACCCCGATTTTTAAACATCCTGACAGCCAAGATACTCCTCCTCTTGTTTAAACTTCTTGCTGCAATTAAAGTCTATCTCCTTTTTGGTTTCCTTCCGTAGAGAATTAATGTTCTGTTTTTAAAAGTCTTTAAAAATTTTTTCTCATGACAATTGTTAAATTACTCATCTTTTTATTTTTTAAGCTAAGTAACTATAAAAAGAAATCTGTATTCAGGCACTTAATCCAAATCATCCAAAATCTTGTCACCTGACTGTACTTAGGAGGACTAATAAAAATGCACAGCCTTAACCTGTAATTACTCACACAGCCACCTTCAGACGAATTACAGCAAGACGTTCCAAAGAAGTAATGTGGATTTCTTGGAAACTCCGGAACTCACATCTACTATGCTGGTTCCTGGTAATTATCCTGGGTTAACAATGCTTCTGTATCCTTTCAATTGTCTTTCATTTTTTAAAAGACGGAGTGGGGGTGGGGAAAGAATGGTGCTCTCTCCATTATTTCTTTATGTGTCTTAAACTTTGAGAGTGCGGGGAGGAAGTGAATTCTATACTTACTCTTTTTCCTTCAGCCCTTAGTCACCCTACTTGTATTTCTGGCTAGAGTAAACCTATTAGTCATTTGTTGGTCAGCTTCAGAATTTTAACAAACCTGAAGTACGGGTCAAACTGTGATAATTATTCAAATGCTTTATCACATAATTTAGTGAACTGAAAAAAATTAGAAATAAGTGACCCATAGGCTAAAGAATTATGTTAGAAATATTTTTTATTATAATAGCTGTTAAAATATTACTTGTAATTGGGGAAAGGAGAAATGAAAGAGAACTTTGAAATGGAATTGTCTAAGACGTCTGGCCTGGCTGAAGCTTAAGATAATCGAGAGCCAGGCTACTGGTTCATCACCCATCCATTCCATGACTGATTAAACGTGTATTGCTGAGTGTTAATACGTGCAAGGTGCTGGGATGCTTAGCCTTTTTATGAGCACTGACTGAGCTCCCATTGTGAACAAACATTTGTCAGGAGCTGGAGAGGGCACAGAGTAAAAACGTAGTCCCGACAGCAGGAAATAAATACAAGTGTCTGCAGAACAGAACCAAGGACAGGGAATAACCTGGCAGCTACTGCTTGAGTCATAATGTGCTATGTGGATTTAGAGTGGTGATCGCTTCTTTATGGGGTTAAGGAGAAGATGGTCCTTGAGCTGGACCTTAAAAGATGACATTTGGACAGAAAATGGAGAAGCTATTTAAACAGCTTTGAAAACAAATTTTAATGCTTTTCATTTTTCTGTTTCTCACAGCATTTTATTGCCATGGGTTTGTCTTTGGGATATTTATAGTCACTGGGGAAAACATTTTCAATTTTACAATACAGATATATATATACTAAAAATATTATTTAAAACACACCCACTTGCTTGTAAACACCGGTCTTTCTGAAATCGAGATATAAAAGTGTATTTGCAGACTGCTAGCCAGTACTGGGTAGATTAAAACAGTAACGTGATTTTATCTTCAGGGCATTTACCATCTCATTGCTAAGACCTACCCTATTCATATGTAACGAAACCTTTCCAGTTGGACTATGACCGAGTGTCAAAAGATACAGTACCAACAACAGTTGCATAGGAAGAGTACAACCCTGACTCAAATAGTTAGGAAATAGTGACCAACACAGGTAAGCAAGCATGCAGATTAGGGGTTGGGAAAATGGCCTTTTTAAGAGTGGCTTGCACCTTGACATTTCTCAGCCCTGGTAGGTATTTTCATCATTTAAGAAATTGTTTTTCTCTTTTCAGCTTCATGGTGGATCCTGAACAACAACTAGATGTTCCCAGAGCAAGCCCAGTGCTCACCAGAATGTGAATGAGAAAATGCTCTCTGTGCATTTACTCTAGGGTGTGCAGTCTTCTTAAATGTCTTCTATGATTTTTCCTTGTGAATTTTAGCTAACGTTTCAAAGTTCACTATTCTCAGTATCTGCTGTTTTGCAACAGTGTAACCCAAAACCCTTTAGTCATAAAATTCTAATATGTGAAAAAGTATACACTTAAAGGAACACAATTGTGAAAAAACATTTAAAGTGGGAACTTTTAGAATACTACGTCATAGAACAGATTTGTCAAAAACTATAAAGGTTAAATCAGTGTTTGTGATTTTTAAGTGACTGGTTTTCTTAGTGAAGTTTATTCTCCAGTGATGAAAACATTTCTAACTCATGACCCTGTGGCTAGTCACTTCATGTCACTTAAGAAGTTAACACAGTCCCCAGCATGACTGGTGTCCTTATATGCAGATTCAGGTGTGCAAAGAAAAGGTCACGTGAGGACCACAAGCCAAGGAGAGAGGCCTCAGGGGAAACCAAGCCTGCCAGCACCTTGATCTTGGACTTCTGGTCTCTAGAACTGTAAGCAAATGTTTGTCGTTTAAGCTCAAAAAAAAGTTAACACATAACTTTGCATAAAACAACCTTGACTGTAACCTATAGAATTTCTATCCATCAGATTATAAACCAGTTTTTCACAAGTGAACAGTTCTGTCATAGGGCACCCATTTGTTAATGTGACACCATCATATAATTTATTAGCATCATAATTTCCTGTAACGTAAATCGAGAAAAGAAGAGTTTTACTTTGGATCAAATGCCATAAAATTTGAACCAGAGAGCTAACTTTTCTTATGAAAAAGATATTTGTATTTAACAATTTCAAAATACTTGAAAAACAAAATTTTAACCTAAGTGAACAAAGAATATAGAACAAGCACAAATTTCAGGGAAGTAATAGAAGACATCTATTTTCCAGTTTCACTAGAAGAACTGTTATACACTTTGCTGTACAAGCTCATAAATTATTTTTAATTGTGAAATTTCTGATGATAAATGCTGCTAAGTGAAAATCACAGTGCATATAGATATGTTACTCTCTAGTCCAAGTTCTCTGAAACCACAGGTCTTCCAGGAAAAACATTTTTCCTGGTTTTTTTTTTTTACTGTTAGAAACCTCAAGAAAAAAGGTCAAACTAATTTTTAAAAGATAAAATTTTACCTACTTTCTCAAATTTATTTATGGAATATTAACTTTTATTAATACTTTTGTATACCCTCAGTCCTCAACCTAAATTTTTTCATAGGCTCTACTGGACATAGGTAACAAATTTTGACATACACACGTGTGTGTTTTGGGTCACTTCTGAAGATGAGAAACACTATAAACAACACCTGGCTCAACTTTTAATTTATGTACAAAGCAAAGAACAGTGATGGACATGTACATTGATTATGCACACTATACATATGTACAAGGCAAAGAGAGAATAAAACAGTCTTTGCAGTCTCATTTTGACTGTATATAGTAGGAAAGGATCAAAGACTGAGACCTAGGGGGCTTCTGACATTCAAACTCTTCCCTAAAACACTGGTTATAAATGGTTTCAAAAATACAAATTACAGTGTAGTTCTGGCCAGATCCTCTCAGTATCGGATTCAGAATGTGCAGCCAGTCTCCCAAGTAGCATGGTCCTGTGACTAAGAGAGCTCAGCCCTTAGTAACAGTGCCATGTGGGAAGGCCTTCAGATCCCAAATTTGAACAGGATCAATTGTTTTTTAACTAGAATCAAAAGACCTTGAGAATAGGCAAATAATAAAGCAAACCAATTTAATTACATGGCAATTCTGACCCCAGCTCTTATAGAATATAGATGTATTTTTGTGTGAGAGCATGTCTGTGTGTGTGTATCCACACACGCGACAAAACAAAAACAAAAACAAAAACAAAAACCCTGGCCCTAGGTATAAATATCATTTTAAAGTAACTGATAAATTTATGGTTAATGTTTTTTTCTATTTAAAAAACAATCTATCTCTAGGGAAAAAAGTAATGAAGAGTAGGGTACTAAAACACCAAGATGGTAAACCTATCCAAAACTAAAGCTTGGGTCTGGTTAAGAAGCCCGAAGACCAGTAAAGAAAATGGTACTGGTTCTAAGAGTTCAGAATTCAATTTAAGATAAACATCCTGCCAAAAGACGGCCTTGACGGCCTTAAATGCCTTCCTATAGAAGGGGGATGAGAGCATCCGAGCAAACAGAAGTAAGGAGAGTTTACACTTACCTTCACTTCAGCAGTATTTGTTGACACTGTGCTGGAAGAAATTTTTTTTAACCGTAACATTCAGAGTGACAAATCTCAGACTTGTATAAAACTTCTAGGGGCTAAAGTTTAAGCCAAAAAATTCCTCATCCATACATGTTCTTGTTATAAGAAATTACAGAATTAAATCTTAATGTAATAATTATTTGCAAATGCCTAAATTTTTCCTCTTTGGAAGTATTTTTCAGTTACTCAACTTCTACTGTTCATATGGTCTGATTAGGAACACAAATAGCAGCTATTTTCCACCTTCGGTTTTATTCACTACCATTGTTTCCAAATCATCGATCTTTGCTAGTAATTATGAATCTTAGTGTTATTAAAAACCTAGACAGCAATCACATTTGAAAAGAAATGCCTATTAAAATAGTCTCCCTCCTGTCATCGAAAACTCTGCGTCAGACACCCTGAACTGCTCTAAGCCTCTGCAGATATTGTAAAGGTCCTTTTGAGTGCTAGTCTGAAATCAGTGTGAAACAAAGTCAACTTTAAAAGCATCAAGAAATTATGTACCATATATACATCACAGCAAATACTTTATATTTGAGAATCTTTACAGCTTATATTTCCATTATTAAAAACAAAAAATTGCAAGTAGTGTGCAAATTATAAATACAGTCTTCCTACTTCACTAACCACATTTTTACTTGCAAATGTTTCTGCCCAATTTATGCAGGAAAACTGCCTGCAGAGCTGAAACTGATTAGAAAGTTCTTTAAAATATCTCTTTCTCATTTTAGGAGAAACCAAATACCCAACCGTCAAAATTTAAAATAAATTGAATTGTCACCGTCCATTGCAGTTATTGTTTTGAGATCCACTTCATTTGCAGGTGCCCAAAATATAAAACAAATAATTCTTTATCTTCAAACTCATTTGTTCTTAAAATGTTACTTAAAACTTTGGTTGTTTTCCTGTAATATAAAAGAAAGAAAAATTTATAAGACTGAATGAATACAGTTTTACTAATTTGTTCATCAAACTAAATACCGTGGCCCTACTAAGTGTTTACAGACCTAAATGCATGTTACTATAGAAATTATTAAAGTAACTGGAATTTGTCATATACAACAATTCTTCTGTGTTTAATAAAACATGTAATGCATTTTTAAATATTAGATTGTACTCTAAACCTGTCATTTTTGTGGTACATAGTTTTTAAAAAACGTTAATGCATAAATCAAAATGTGACTCAATTCTAATGTATAAGGTTTGTTCAAAATAATGAGTATGTCAAACTTTTACTTATGAAATAAAATATTAGAGATGGAAAGTCTGCATTTGAAAAAGTAACTGTTTTATATAGCATGGAAGTTTAAGACTCATTCTTATAGACCAAGAATCATATGTTCCTAAGATCTCTGAACAGGTGGGAAAATTTAAACATCATTAAGGACAGTTTTCCATTTTAAGTAGTCTTGTGTGTGAGGGCCTATGAAAAGTTTAAATTCCTGCTCTAATTGTGAAAAGAATTGGCTGAAGGCCTGCAAGTTAAAATTCAAAAAACTGTAAGGAAAAAAGGCTATGAAGTCCAGAGGTAGAAATCCCCCAAAATGGAGACACAGAAGGTAATCTGTATCTCAATTTGAGCCATTTTCAGCACACCTATATTCTGAGCTCGTCTCAATAGAAGCCTAATTGCGTTTTTAACCAATATAGTGTTTATGAAAACTTGAAAATAAAGATCATGAAAGATGAAAAAGAACATTTACTGAACGTATAATGAAAGATATGCACCATACCAGGTACTCTGAGTCATTGTTAGGATTTAACGGTGGAGATTTTATCCTTATCTGCAACTACAAAAGTGAAGCTCAGAAAGTTGACTGTTCTAAGCATGAACAGGACACAGTACACAGACCAACCCAAGCCTGATGCCAAAACTCACATTCTTCCAATCAGTATCCGAAAAGATACATGCACTTACTTTGATGGAATATGATGAGGTGACAGATATAAAAGACTAAGAACAGCAATGACATGCTGAAGAAGAATATGTGGGATGACTTTTACTGTATAAAAAGACTAAATGAACAGAATAGAGGGCCCAGAAACAGACCACATATGTTGCCACAAAAGTGGCAGAGGACTCACCTACTTTTTCAGTAAATATTGGTAGGGTGACGGGAAATCCATGCAGAAAAAAAAACACTTCTACCCCACATCATATAACAAAATCCACTGCAGGTGGATTATAGAACTTAATTGGAAGTTTGAGAAAATACAGCATGCTCTTTTCATGACTTTTTAACAATTTTTCTTTTTTTTTAGGCGAAGCAACCCTTGGTTGACCTCACAGATTACAAGGACCTTGTCAGCTTACAATCTCTTATTTTTTATTTACGCCTACAGCACCTGGTCTTCCTAGGTGGTCTCTCATCCAAGTACTAATCAGGCCCGACCCTGCTTAGCTTCTGAGATAAGACGGGATCAGGCTTGTTCAGGGTAGCATGGCTGTAGACAAAGATATTTCTTAAAATACAACTATTATGTTCTAATTCTTGACCAAAGGTAATTACTTATAGTACTTCATTATAGTATTTACTTAGATTTATATACTTTTCTCAATTATATTTCACAAGGAGAATAATTAATAATTGAGAGAGAATCAAATGATAATATTAAAGAAATATTTTGGAATTAAAACAAAATTAGGAAAACTACCTACTGGTTTTTGAAGTACGATGGGATGATCAGGCAGAAAGTCTGGTTTTTTTCTGCAGATGGAAACACTTGAGAGCTTCAATAGGAAATCTCTGCTGTACTTAATTCTCTCTGCAGGTATTAAACATCAAATGTAATGTTATAAAACAAAGAACTCTCTCAGATCACATTTTTGCTCAGTGCTTTCTGGATGTCCCTTATCTGTCCATTTTTAAAAATGAGTAGTTTCTATGCAAAAGAAAAGGTGGTGGGGGGTGGGGCATGCCTCCCATTTTCTTTTATAAGGAAAGGAACGAAGCCCAGTACCCAAGGGAGAATGGAAAAGAAAGCCGTTTCAGAAAGTTAGTAACACATGGCTTCTTTCATGTGGTTATTCAAGTCCAGTGAAGCCATCCCATGTTACAGAGTGTAACAGCAGTAACACCTACTAGATGCGTCAGATCCTGCCAAAATGAAACCCTAATAGGCCTAATCTTTATATTAATGTACTAAAATTTTAACACAATCAAAAACTTCAAGATTTATCATACACCTACTCTGTGTCGGGGACCATGGTCAGATCAGGGACTGTGCATCGGGGACCGTGTGTCAGGCCGGGGTTCATGCTTCAGGGATTGTGCTGGGTAATGGTGAGCAAGATCCAAGACAGGGTCCCTATCTTCATGGGAGTCAAGTATCTGTGAATTTCTCATCAGACAGTATCACTGGGGCCAGGAACAGTGGCGCAATATCCTTAAAGTGCTGACAGAGAAGAACTGGCAACCTGGAATTCCATACTGTGAAATGAAAAGATAGATATACTGCTCTCGGTTCCTGACACAGAGCTCCGAAACCCCTTGGAACTTCCTGAGGGACAAGCAAGTGACCAGATGCAGAGTTCAAAACACTAGTTAAAAGGATGCTCAATGATCTCAGTGAGAACTTCAACAGAGAGAGGAAACACAATAAAGAACCAGTCGGAAATGAAGAATATAATAACTGAAATGAAAAATATATTAGAGGGAATCAACAGTAGATTAGATGAGACAGAGGATCGAATCAGTGATTTGGAAGATAAGATGGTAGAAAATACCCAATTAGAACAGCGAAAAGAAGAAAGAATTCAATAAAATGAGGACAGTTTAAGGGAGCTCTGGGACAACATCAAGCGGACCAACATTCTCATCATGGGGTACCAGAAGGAAGAGAGAGAGAGAGCAAGGAATTGAAAACCTTTCTGAAGAAATAATGACAGAAAACTTTCCTAACCTGATGAAGGAAATAGACATACAAACCTAGGAAATGTAGAGAGTCCCAACCAAGATGAACCCAAGGAGGCCCACACCAAGACACATCATAATTAAAATGCCAAAGGTTAAAGACAAAGAGAGATCTTAAAAACAGCAAGAGAAAAGCAGTTAGTTACCTACAAGGGAGCTTCCATAAGACTGTCAGCTGATTTCTCAACAAAGACTTTGCAGGCAAGAAGGGATTGGCACAAAATAGGCAAAGTGATGAAAAGCAAGGACTTACATCCAAGATGACTCTACCTGGCAAAGCTATCATTTAGAATCAAAGGACAGATAAAGAGCTTCCCAGGCAAGAAAAAGCTAAAGGAGTTCATCTCCACCTTTTTTAAGAAGAAGAAGGGGAAAAAGATTAAAAATGGGAATAACAAAAACGACAATAACTACATATCTATAAATAATTACTTTAAATGAATTAAATGCTCCAACCGAAAGACATAGGGTGGGTGAATAGATTAGAAAACAAAATGCTTACATATGCTGCCTACAAGAGACTCACTTCAAATCAAAAGACACAGACTGAAAGTAAAGGGATGGAAAAAGATATTTTATGAAAATGAAAGAGAAAAAAAAAAAAACTGGGGTAGCAATACTTATACCAAACAAAGCAGACATGAAAACAAAGGCTAGAACAAGAGACAAAGAAGGATCCAGTTATCCCACTTCTGGGTATTCAAGAAACCCAAAGCCCTGAGGGCAGGCCGCAAGTGCTGGGAGAAGACGCCCCGCCTTCAGAGATCCAGTTCTTAAGGGGAGACGGCAACATCCGTAGGTCAGGGGTGGAAGTGGGGCGGGGGGGATGGAATTAAAGAGGGGAAAAAAAAATAGTAGCAAACTGATTTCTGCAATACATTAAAAAGGTCGTACACCGTGATCAAGTAGGATTTATTTCTGGATGCAAGGTTGGTTCCACATCCACAAATAAATCGACGTGATACACTACACAAACAGAATGAAGGGTAAAAATCATACAGTAATAGCAATAGATGCAGGAAAAGCATTTGAAAAATCCAACATCCATTTATGATAAAAACTCTTAGCAAAGTGGGGATAGAGGGAACATACCTCAACATACTAAAGGCCGTGTATGACAAATGCACAGCTAATACCACACTCAATGGAGAAAAGCTAAAAGCTTTTTGTTTAAGTTCAGGAACAACACAAGGAAGTCCAATTTCACCTTTTTTATTCAAAATGGTACTGGAAGTATTCTTACAATAAAGAAAGCTACAGAAAACGAAACGTTATTAAGAAAAGTATTTACTGAAAGAAAATCCCATGTAAGCACACCTGCACAGTCCAGCCCATGTTGTCCAAGGGCCCACTGTTTAATGCTGGGCCAACAGCAACTTCACAGAACAGAACAACACGTACACCAGCTCAAAATTTTACATGATACAGAAGATACAGAAATAGAAATAAACCTCTGCCTTGTTTAAGCCACTGCTATAATGGTCTTGCCTTTAGAGCAGTCAAACATACAGCCCAATCCATATGGACAGAGATCAACCAAAGACTATAATAACAGGTTTACAGCCAAACAAATATTAACTCCCTATGAAAGTTAACACTCTCTTATGAAATTTAGGAACTATGATAAAAATTCACCTTTTTTAACTGGAGACTGATGTTGCTGTTGGTCATTAAGACCTTGAGAAAAGGCTTGCATTCCATTCGTCTTACACTGTTGAAAGAAGAAAATACACTTTTTAACTAAGGCTTAAAATTTTTATATAACTTTTAATATCCTAAAATATTTTCCTAAACAATCAAAATAGTAGCCAATGCACATTTTTGGGCTAAAGGATAAACAATATCTAAGTGTAATTATTAAAAATGAGCAACAAAAATATCAAAATACATTCACATGTATCTAACAATTTTTGTCATAATTATTTTCAAAAGGGAATATAAAACCAAAGATGAATGATATGATCCAAAAGATAATTATAAAGTAATTAAAAACATTTTAATTCATGAAAACAACAGATATTTATTCACAAAAATCTGCAATAAAACTATAATATTTACTTTTTTTATTTTATGTAGATCCTTGCCAGTTTACATGCATATAACTGTTCACACACTACCTTGGAAATAAGGAAAATAAAATCTCGCTTCATCCAATGAAGCAGAGAAATAAGAAACACTGGCAGAGCTCGTGTCCTGAGAAGAGGCCTTAGCCCAGTTTTCCAGTTCTACTCGCAGAATCACCTTTATTATGAGATTGGCTAAATAATTTGATGACGTGCTAAAAATAAAACAACAATAGTATTTTAATTCCTTTTCTTCTGATTACAAGCTCGCCAAGAAATATTCTGATTACAACTTAGCTTCCCATGAATCTCCCTAGAGCAGATAATACACTAGAACAAAGACGAGAATCCCAGAGTACAAGGCAGTCAGATTTCTCATAAAATAATGGGTTTTCTGATTTTATAAATCAGTTTCACATACTTGGTCAATACCGCCTACCCCCTAAGAGATGATCTCCTCTTTTTTGCTGACAAAAATCAAATTTACAAACACTCAGCTAGATCCTGGACCGTGGTAATTCCCTAAGGTAGTTTTCCTTGGAGATATCTATCCTTAAAAATGAACATCTTTACTCCAGCAATCACTGTATTAGCAAGTTGTAGGCCAGTCCTCAAATATCTGTAAATTCTACCCAGGTGATTCTGCCAAAGTCAGAAGGTTAACGAAGAATAAGGTAATTCTACATTACTGAGACATGAGAATAAGTCATCAAAAAAAAGCAAATTTGATAATGCCAAAAATTTGGTTTTCCAAAGTTCTTCCTGTTAGATTTAATAAACTATAAGAATTATATGTTCTTTTTAAAAATTAATTTCTTAAATTTGAAAATTTCACCAGAGGCACACTTCACTATCTTTGTAACATTACTTAAATGCAAGACCTAAAATCAAACTCAAAAGTAAACTGGGAAGTCGAATGGATAAGAAAACAAGACCCCTGCCTATAAGAGACTCATTTCAGATTAAAAGACACACACAGACTAAAAAGGAGGGGATGGAAAAAGATATTGCCTCCATGGACCTAGAGGGTATTGTGCTGAATGAAGTAAGTCCGATAGAGAAAGACAAATACCACATGATTTCACGTACATGTGGAATCCAAAGAACAAAATAAACAACAACGGAAACTGATAGATACAAAGAATATTTTGGGTGGGGAGAAGGAGAGATGGTGAAAAAAAGTAAAGGGATTAAGAAGTAAAAATGCATAGATACAAAATAATCATGTAGATATAAAGTGTAGCATAAGGAAAATAGTCAACAATGTTGTAAAAAAGACATATGGGGGAAGAGGGGTACTAGATTTAGTGGGGTGACCACTTCACAAGTTACATAGATCTCTAATCACTATGCTGTACAACTGAAACTAATATTCTTGTGTGCCAACTGTAATTGAAAAAAAACTCACTGAATTGTACAATATAAATATGAGCAACTAAATGTCTATTATATAATACTTCAATAAAGCTGGGAGAAAAAAATTTTTAAAAAGTGATCAAGAAAACAATCTCTTTTTAAAATACTTAGGCACAAATTTAACCAAAGAGGTGAAATATCTATACACAGAAGACTATAAGACACTGATTAAAGAAACTGAAGACGATGTAATTAATGGAAAGATATCCTGTGTTTGTGGATTGGAAGATTATTAAAATGTCCAACCACCCAAAGCAATCTACCGATTCAATGTACTCCCTACCAAAATGCCAATAGCATTTTCCATTGACACAGAACCCTAATATTTGTACAGAACTACAAAAGACCCTGAGTAGCCAAAGTAGTCCTGAGTAAGAACAAAGCTAGACGCATCACACTTCTTGATTTCAAACTACATTACAAAGCTGTAATAATCAAAATAGTTTAATACTGGCATAAAAACACACATAGACCAGTGCACTAGAATAGACAGCACAGAAATATACCAACACATATACATTCAACTAATCTTTGACAAGAAAGCCTAAAATACACAATAGAGAAGAAATAGTCTCTTCGAAATATAGTGTTGAGAGAATTGGCTATCCACATGCAAAAGAATGAAACTGAACCCTTGTCTTACACTATAAACACAAACAAATTCAAATGGTTCAAGATAAATACATCCAAAACCATAAAACTTCTAGAAGTAAACAGGGGAAAAGCTCCTTGACATTTGTCTTGGCGATCTTTTGGATATAATACGCTCAAGCAACAAAATCAAATATAAATAACTGGAACTACATCAAACTAAAAACCTTCAGCACAGCAAAAAAAAAAAAAAATCAACAATGAAAAGACAAACCTACAAATGGTAAAAAGTCTTTGCAAACCATATATGTGATATGGGATTAATATCCAAAATATATAAGGAACTCATACAACTCAATAGCAAACAATCAACAGGAGGAGGACCTGAATAAACATTTCTCCAAAGCAGACATACAGATGGCCAGTAGACATATGAAAAGATGCTCAACATCACTCTCAGGGAAATGCAAATCAAAACCACAGTGAGATCTCGCCTCACACCTGTCAGAGTGGCCATCATCAATAAATCAACAAACGAGCGCTTGCGAGGATGTGGAGAAAAGGGAGCCCTCGTGCACTGTTGGTGGGATTGCAAATCGGTACAGCCACTATGGAAAACAGGATGGAGGTTCCTTGAAAAATTAAAATAGAACTACCACATGACCCAGCAATCTCTCTTCTGGATATTTATCTGAAGAAATCCAAAATACAACTTCAAAAAGTTATCTGCACCCCTATGTTCACTGCAGCATTATTTACAATAGCCAAGATATGGAAGCAACCTAAGTGTCCATTAATAGATGACTGGATAAAGAAGAGATGGTACATACATACATACATTGGAATATTACTCAGCTATTAAAAAGAATGAAATTTCTCCATTTGCGACAACATGGATTGACCTAGAGGGTGCTGTGATAAGTGGAGTGAGTCAGACAGAGAAAGACAAATACCATATGATCTCACTTACATCTGGACCCTAAAGCACAAACTAAGTGAGAAAACAAAACAGATACAGTTATGCAAACTTCTCTTAAAAACTCTGAAAGGCCCACAAATCCCAAACAAGCAGCACCTGACCTCAGCGTGCCCCATACCTCTTCTTAAGCAGTCCCAAGTCTAGCACTAGCAGAAACTGACCTCGGTTCCCAGCAGAGCCTCTTCCAGGCACCTCCAAATCCAGCACAGGCAGCTCCCAATCACGAATCACTTTGTAGCTCCTACCAAGTAGCCCTGAGCTGGCACAGGCAGCAGCTGCCCTTAGCCTGTACCCACATTCCTCCCAAGAGACCCCGGAAACAACACACCTGGTAGCCTGCTTCAGGCCACACCAAAACACCGCCCACTTACCGCCACAAAAGACATGCCCAAAGGTTGGACTCAGCACGCACCAGAGCCCTGCTAAAGCGAATCCGTTCCAAGGGGTCAGCCTCTACCCAACAGCTCGGCCACCGCAGTCATGGCCAGCACTCACCACCAGTCAGCAACAGGGTCAGTTTCACCCACTGACATGCCAATGGCAATCCACACTCAACAGCAAAAGGAAAGCACTCACATGACGAGCACCACTGGAGCACTCGACTCCAGTGCTGAGGGAGACTGCAGCGCTGGGCCCACAGCACACCTACTACTTCAGCCCCTCCGGCAAGATCGGTAGACAGAGCAGATCTACCTACCAGTAAAAACAAACACAGGTGGCCAAAATGAGGAAAAAAGAAACATGTTCAAAATGAAAGAGCAGCTCAAAATTCCACAAAAAGAGACAATGGAGACAAGCCATCTACCAGATTACAGAGTTCAAAACACTAGGTTGTAAGGATGCTCAGTGAACTTAGGGAAGAATAGCTGACCTCCGTGGAACTTCAACAAGGAGATAGGAAACATTAAAAAGAGCCAGTCAGAAATGAGGAATACAATAACTGAAATGAAGACGACATCAGATGGAATTGACAGATTTGATGAAGCAGAGGATCGAATCAATTCAGAAAAAATGTTTGACAAAATGCAGCATCTATTTATGATAAAAACTCGCAGCAAAGTGAGAATAGAGAGAATATACCTCAACATGACAAAGTTCATAAATTACATACCTAGGGTAACATCATACTCAATGGTGAACATCTTAAAGCGTTTTCCTTAAGATCAGGAATAAGATAAGGAGGTCCACCTTCACAACTTCTATTCGACATAGCATTGGCAGGAAAACAGACACAAAAACCAATGGTAGAGAATTGAGGGCCCAGAAATAAACTCACACATATATGGGCAACTAACTCATGACTCAAAGCTAATATACAGTGGAGAAAGGAAAGTTCTCCAGTAAATAGTGAAACCAGACCACTATTTTACACCATACCCCTAAATTAACTCAAAACAGATTAAAGACTTGAATGGTAAGTCCTGAAACAACAAGATATATAGATGGCCAATGGGCATATAAAAAGATGTTCAACATCACGGATTATTAGGGAAATGCAAATCAAAATCACAGTGAGATATCACCTCACACCTGGGAGGTAGAATGGCTATTGTCGAAAAAAGAAGAAACAACAAGTGTTGGAGAGGATGTGCAGAAAAGGGAACCCTCGTGCACGGTTGGTGGCACTGTACATTGGTGCCGCTGCTATGATAAATGGTACGGAAGTTCCTTAAAACGTTAAGAATAGAACTATCATATGATTCATCAATTCCTCTTTTGGGCATTTATTTGAAAAATACGAGAGCACTAATTCATAAAGACATGCACCTCTATGTTTGCTGCAGTATTATTTACAATAGCCAAGATATGGAAAAAACCTAAGTATCTCTTGACAGATGATGGATAAAGATATATATTCATTTGTGAAAACACGGATAGACCCTGAGGGTACTATGCTGGGTGAAATAAATCTGAAGGAAAAGAACAGAAATCATATGATGTTACTGATATGTAGAATATAAAACAAAAAGCAACACACAAACTAATGAAACAAAAGAAAAACAAACTCATAAAGAGGGGATGGGGGCGGGAGGAGGGCGAACTAGGTAAAGGGAGGGTCAAATCTATGCTAATGAAAGGAAATCAGACTTTTGGTGGTGAGCACACAATAAAGTATACAGATACCAAATTATAACGTTGAACACCTGAAATTTATATAATGTTATTAACCAATGTTACTTCCATAATTTTTTATTAAAAAGATTTAAAATTTTTGAACTAAAACATTACCAAAAAATAAGTCTCTCGACCATATTCCCAGGAAATATTTGCTGTGCATGTAAGAAAAATAATTAGAACCCAGAATATATTTTTTAAAAAATATACATCAAGAAGAAAAAGTTGATCTCCCCCCCCAAAATGGACAAATGAAAAGAATTAGCAGTTCACAAGACTAAATCCAAATGGCCAAATTAAACATATGGAAAGATGCTCCACTTCACAAATAGAGAATTAAAACTTAAAACCAACAAAAAGATATGATTTCTCACCCATTAAATAAGAAAAAAACGTTAAAGTCTGACAATAACAAAGCAAGAACGTAGAAAAAGCAGAGCCTTCATGTGTTGCTCATACAAATCTCAGTGGAGAGTAATTTGGCAGTGTCTGATGACCCAGTAATTCCACTGCAGTTTAATACTGCAGAGAACCTCTCAAACATAAATGAAATGTAACATATACTCAATGTTCACTATAGCATTTACTATAAAATAGAAACGAGTACCATGCCCATCAATAGAAAATGGAAAAACGTGGCATATTTATACATATGATTCTTCTGTATCATCACATATAGAACAGCTGTGTTCATTTTAATAGTTGTCTAGTATTCCACCTCTGAATATACCTATGACTGTGCATGCATAAGCTACTTCTGGAAGTATCTAGATCAGAAATTGGTATAATAGCTACTTCTGTCCGAGGAAACAGGTGACAGGGGAGACAGAGATCGGAGGGAAACTTTTCAGTAAATTCCATTTTGTATGTTTTGAATTTTAAACTTTGTAATTATTTTAGTCAAAAAATTAAATTAGAACCTTTAAAATATAAACCTAAATGTGAAAAAAAGGCAAAAACAATATTATGTATATAAAACAGTTAAAACAATTCTATTCATTGTAGCAAAAGTATTAATATGTTCATGAAAACAATAACTGAAGATAGTCATCTTGGAGAAAGGCGGGAAGGAAATGGCTTGGTGGAGGGATACATAGGGGTTTTACCTATATGATGTTTTTTAAATTTTCTAAAACAAATATAGCAAAATGTTTAGATTTGAAATGCTGGGCAACAGGTATAATGAATGTTTTACCCTCTTTAATATATACTTGAAATATACCATAAAGTTTTAGAAAGTATATAAAGCACTTAGCATAGTACCTGGCACGCAACAGCCATCTAACAAATATCACTCTCTCCAGTCTGTAAGCTTCATTACGTTATAATTTCTAAGACTTACTCTGTTAACTCCACTTTGTAAGTACTGAGTGTTGCATGGATACTCATTTTGAAAGTTGAAAGGGAATACTGCTCCTGTTAGGAGAGAGAAAAAGAAAACTAATTTAAATATCCATGTCTTCAATAAATGACCTAACAGCATCTAAAAACCTGAATTATCTGGGATACTCTAGGCACTGTCTGAAAATGTTTTCTGAAGGCTCAATCATTCAGCACTATGAAGTGGCAGTCACTGTCTTAGGGGATGGGTGTGTCAGTGTGAAGAGTTCAGAGATAAAAGAGTTCACAGTCTATTTTAAAAGTCAAGCTCATAAATAATGACTATAATCAAAATAAATAAGTTCCATAAGAGCTACAGAGAAATGCTAGGGGAGAGTTGAGTGGGCTTTGAGGTACGAAGGAAGGCTTCGCAAAAGGAAATAATTTAATCTGGGTCTTGAAAGAGATTTCTTTGGGGACGTGAGGTAGACAAGGACTATAGAAGTATGTAGAGAAAAGCCAAAATATTTTACTAAACTTTGTCTAATAAAACCCTACTCTTGTCTGGATCTTAAAAGGATATGATTTAATGAGAGAGCAGGGCTACCATCCCACCCCCATTAACTCCTGTAAAGGGAAAGGATCAATGAGAAACAATCTGTACAGACGAGGGACCGGAGGGCAGTGTAGAAAGGCAGGTCACAGAAAGGAGCTGCTGACAATGGCTCTGTATCCTTCCCGTCAAGATAAAATCCGAGTCTTGACCCTACGCCACTGCTTCTTCAGCACATGAGACGGACACGGCATCAGCATTGCTAAGCCAGGATCTAAAAGATCCATTGATTTAATGTCTGTCTTAAGTCACAGCTGTCTTCAAAGGAAACGTGACCAAAGTGGAGATATCTTCCTGATAGGAACCACGGACAGGAAAACAAAGGACTGAGGAATTGGTGCCATTTGTATATTTTCTGCCTCACCTGTAAACTCAATAAAAGGGCTATTTTTCCTTTTACTAAGTAGCCCATTATTTAGTTGAACTCATGGACTAAAGAGAATTCATTCATACACATACACACACACACACACACACACACACACACACACACACACACACACACCCTAAAGTAGAATATAGAAGCCGTTCTGGCAATAAGTAATAAAAAAAATGAAATGGTTATTATGCCAATTAAAGAACTAAATACAAAATATTTTAAAAATTTGTTCAAAAGGTTTTATGGGAAAAAGAAAAATTTTCAACTTTGGATATATTTTGTTTGTTTGTTTAGATTTCTTGAGAAATTAGCATTGTTTCAACTCCAGCACAGCCCCTAATCTATAAGTTTTGTTTTGTTCTAATCTTTTATTTTTCTACAGTTACAAGTATTTTTTTAAAAAGCTAATCCTCTCTACGTCATGACTGCTCTGCAGTGATCAATCACAGGGCACTGAAAGTTATTCTGAAAGAAGACAGTTAACCATAAAAACAAGACATAAAAAAAATACACACCAAAAAATACACAAAGTTGCTCTCAGATCAGAGCTATTATTCCAACATTTGTTGGTCTGGTAGACTATGAAGAATCCTTTTCTTTAGTAACACCTTTAAATTCTTCCAAGGAGATCAATAGTTTTCATTATTTCTTTAAATATCCACGGTAAATAATTACTTCACCTATTATTTAGACTTTAAAATACTAATTAGCCATCAACCGATTAATATTTAAAGATGTGTACCCTATTTACTCACCGGGAGGAGAAGTCAGATGGCGAACAGGTCTTGCTGGTTGAAGCGGTTTACCAATCAATTTTTTGGTTTCCATTATCACAAAGACCTTGAGGTTCCATACTTTAGGAGGGAAAAATACATTTTTATCTTTTAAACAAGATAACCAACATGCTTTTATATACAAATAACCACAACATTCATTTGAAGATACCTATTTTATAAGGTAGAAAACACAGAAGCATTTAAAATAATATACTACAACCTTAGACCCCTTTACAGCATCTGTCACAACTGAACATTCTCTTTTAAAATATTTTCCTACCTTAACTTCCCTCTTTTTTTGGTTTGTTTCCTATTTCTTTGCCTCTCCTAATTTCCTCTCCTGATCCTTCTTCTTTACTCCAATTAAATTTAGGAATTCTTCCAAATTTAGCTTTGGTTCTCTTAGTTAACCTTATCCATTCTCGTTATTGTAACTATCACATGATAGATATCCAGCATCAACCTCTTTTTTAAAATTTGTTTATTTTTCCTCCTGTATTCCTGAAGATCATCACCAACTCCCTCAGACCACCGTTAAAGACACCTTCAGTTTGATATTCTAAATTAGAGCCCACACACCAAAAACCAGTCTCTAATGCCTGTCCATTCTACTCCCCAAACCTCTCTCAAATCTATCTTCTTTACTCCCACCACTACTCTTAGTTCCATAGTAGTTCTTACTTCACCTCCCTGGTCACCCCGTCTGATCTAAATATTCCCTCTCCCTGTGTTCCTGGGACAGTAAATATGTCCACATCATGGTATTTAGGGAAGACTGTTCTACTGTAATGGCTAATTTATTTGTCTTTTATACTAGGCAAAAGGGAGAAAAAAGATTCTTCTTAAATTGAACAAATTGGTGAATACAGCCTCTTTTCTCTCCAAACTATAATCCCTTTACACACACCCCCGCTTAAACTTCCGCTCCCATCCCCTCCTGGATTATTAATAGTAGAAACAGGAGCCAGCATCCATGTGCCATGCACAGCAAACCATTTACCTAAGTTAAATTATTTAACATTCAGGAAAACTCTATAAAGTAGGCACTATTATCAGTTAGAGCTCAGGTCTCAGGTCAGCCTACTGGGGTCGTGGCATGATTCTACCACCTAGTTACAACAGCCTCCACCTCCTCGGTTCGATGTGAAGTGCCAGCACAATGCTGGGTCCACAGTAAGAGTTCAATAAATGTCAGCTTTAGTTTTTTATCCCAATTTTAGATAAGGCTTAGAGAAATTAGGTAACTTTCCCAAGGTCACAAGAGTCTAGGAAGTGGTGGCTATGCCCGTGCCCAGGCCTCAGCCAGCACCCGACAGGCGAGCTAGCTCTTACCTTTCCTTTCAGCTCACAGCCAGGCAGAGCTGTCTGACTTCTGGTTCAGTGCCCTTCTCGCGCGCACAAAGCCTCCTGTACCCGCTTCCATGGGTACTTACTGCACTGGCTGCATTACTTGTTATCTGACTATTACATTACAGCCTTGTCACTGAGGTACATCTCCGGTGTCCGCCAGTGTCTAGCACACAGTGGATGTTCACTAAATTGTTGAATTCATAAATGTTATTTTGTTGCACCATACAGCTGAACATTCAGGTGCTCTGTCTGGAGGTCCTTTTTTCTCCCTGCTGCTCATCTTCCAAATTGCTATTCATCCTTCAAGACCAAAGTCAAGTTCTTGCTGCTTCCTTAGAAAATATCCTCACATCTCAACAATAACATTAAATAATAGTTCACATAGTTCTCTAGTTCCTAACAAACAGTTAACAGTAAAATAATAATAACAATAACAACTTCTCTGTCCTCCTACACTGGCCCCTACTATATTTTATCTCTCAATTTTCTAAAATTTATACTAGTATATTTATAACAGTCATACCTCAGAGATATTGTGGTTCCGGTTCCAGACCACTGTAATAAAGCAAGTATTACAGTAAAGCAGTAAAGTGAGTCACAATCTTTTTGATGGTGGAGGGTCTTGCCTTCCATTTATAAAGTAAAAACCACCTACCTGTGAAGCGCAATAAAACGAGGTATGCCTGAACATGCCTGTTTGATTAGACCGAGGTAGCTGAGGCCAAAAAGACTAGACCTTATTTATCTTTGTATCCTAATATCTGCAAACCCAGTTTTACTAAATAAATTTATAAATTTAAATACTTCCTAAATATAACTAAAATCGTCTAATGCCTAATTGGGACACAGTTTTTCAAATGTTGATGCCTATCAAGACAGTCAAAAGCAAAACTCCACCTGACCTGGCACTGGCTCACCCAGAAAGAACTGAAACCACATGCTCTCAAGCAAGTCATCGGTCTCAGCAACTGTTTCCCTATGTATAAAATAGGGTTAGTAACGGCCTTTTAGCTCCAAAGACATGCTTTCATATATTGAAAAATACCTTTGGATGTAATTCAAATGTTAAAATCATAAACCTATAAACAACCTCTCAAAGTCAACAATGATAAATAAGCACAAAAGTTACTTTTTCCTGAATTTTAGAGATAAGCAAGCCAATACACAAGTTAACATCTATCTAGCTTTGTAATGTGTCTGTTAAGAGATATTTTAGCATGGATGGTAACAACCTTCTAAACTAAACTAATGCTGTATTTGCTGGCAATACAACTTTAATATAATAGGAAAGAAAAAAGTTATAAGCACACATAGCCAAAAAAAAAAAAAATACTTCAAATATATATTAAATATTTTCTATGGGGAAGGAAATATTTAAAATGAGGACCAAAAAGCAATCTAATATTGCCTAATTTAATGTTTATCCCAGCCATTTTAATTAGGACCCTAATACTAGCATGCAGTAACTTTCCATCCTGTTTCCCACATGAAACTAATGAATCAGAATACAATCGAGTGCTCTGGCACACACTTTCTTGTTTTTCATTGCTCAGCTGAAACTGAGTTGATAGGTTGTAAAGTCTCTTCCAGTTGCTGAGCAATGCAAATCCACAGTATTCAAACCAGGGATTTTCAAAGGTTGGGGAGTTACAGAACTATCATATGATTGTGCAACACAAGTAAATAAACGAAAAATAAAAGAACTTTTAGTACAATCTACCCTTTTCAATTTCTAGTAGGAAAACTACAACAGAGGCTCCCAAGTGCATAGACACTGACATTATAGGGAATAAGTGTGGGGGACATACTACATAACAGCATCATGTCTTAAACAGTGCTATTAAAGGAAAAGGCAAGTATTTGTAAGTAATGATTACTATAAAACTGATCCACAGGATCATAATCTATGAAGGACAGAACTCCACAAACCAAAGCCTAATTCTCAGTTTATATTAAAAATAATACAAGATGTAAGTGAACTATAAAGTCAGCACATAAAATAACATCTTAAAAGCTAATGCCTGCTTCACGCACTGAACATAGAGCTCCTATAGCTTCCTTTGGAGGGCAGGCATTTCTATCAACTGTGAGGAAAAAAAAAAAAAAATGGCTGCAAAAGAAACAGAATCCCACCTACGGCATTGGGTAGCAAGTAGTGAACCTACCATAAAGTTGTCTTTTAAAATATAAATATATAGTTATGTGGTATAAATACTTTTTAAAGGAAATCCTGATCCAAGTCTCAGAAAATTCATTCTGTTAATACATGCCTAGCAATGGTTAGTGAATAAAGCTCTTTTTTCAAGTTTATACTTAACAAATCATCCTACAAGACTGAGTGGTATGAATAGAATATTGGTCTGCTAGTCAGGAATCTTAACTGTTGGCTGTTCTACATCTCACAATACTAATTAAATTTTAGTTTCCTTTTTTTGTTTTTTGTTTTTTTTTTTAAAATCAAGTTAAATATAAATCCTAAGGACCCACCAATTCAGAAATTACAAATTAATTTAGAATTTTCTACAATATAGTACATTGATAATAAGCACACACTGACCAACTTAGGCACAATCTTATTACCCAACGCATACTATTCTTTATTTATTAAAAATTCCATTTTTTTGAGGTCCTATTACATGCCAAATGCTCAACATATATTACTTTCATTTCGTTTTGAACCATGCATTTACTGCTGTAGAAAATCATTAGTAGTCACTTTACGGATGAGAAACCAGTGACTGAGAAAAATAACATACTCAAGTTCACATAGTTAATAACTGGTACAAATGAAGACCTGACTATAAAGTTCATGCCCTTATCTGTAAACGTGGGTGTTTGGTGAGTAAAAGAAAGCCCTCTGACTGTCCACTATTCACTGTGGACATTTCCTGTATGGATACAAAAATTTAATTATGAGTAGGGACATCTACGTATAAAGCCTTGCTGAATAAACTGGTATGTGCTAATAATTTCCAGTTCCTCAATTTACAAGTTTTCTTAGACTACTAAGTAAACTATGAGATGATTATGCTTTCCTCATTCTTTAGACATGGTACACGGCCATACTAATCATAAATCACAACATAAGAACTATACTATGTACCGTATTTAAAAGCTGGGTACCATAGTTAACTTTTCCAACTTGAAATTTCTTTAAAAACTGCTGATGGTTCCACTGCAGGTGGGTAATAAGTTCAGATAAAATTAAAGAAATAAGCTGAGAGAAGTGAAAAGACCAGCCTTTCATCTACCTCACGTATATTGCCCACATGAAAATCTGTTAAGATTTTAGACTTCAAAATAGTACTTTTACAAAGTGAGGCTTCCTTGAAACTGAATGCCGCTTGTAAGTTAACAGCACATCCAAGCATCCCTCAGAGACACTGCAGGTTGGCTTCCAGACTGCCTTAATAAAGTAAGTGTCCCCAGAAAGCAGCTGTCATCTTTTCGCTCACTTGTGAAGCGCAATAAAACGAGGTGCTCCTGCGCTGATAAACGGACAAATGAAAAGTAACCAGGAAAGTATGCGGGAGTTACTCAGGTGATGAAAGGCCTTTGATATCAGGTTGCTGTACTCAAGAAAAATCAAAACCAAAATATAAAAAAGTCCTAAGTTCCATGATATTTTCCTTTCCATGCCTTCTCTTTATGACTGACCCCAATATTTTTTTCTCTGTGAAGCATCTTTCAATACAAACACAATTTAACATTTAGGTGGCATAAAATTTTCCAGGTGCTTGTAGTTATCATACCTGCTGTAACTGTCCCTTTACAGTTTTTTTTTTTTTAACAGCTTTGCCTAAAATATCAGTAATTAAAATCTGTGGATACAAATGTTGAATCATCGTGTTGTACACCTGAAACTGCTCCACGTCAATTTTTTTTAAATGGCATCTCTTTACACCTCCAGTAACCATTTCATTTTTTTTCTGTGAATGACCCCACATGGCTTAGGGCTATTTTTTCCTACTGGGTTTGTTTTCTTTTTGAATATAATTTCATGTTATTAGTTGTTACTTTATTAGTAATAAAAACAACTACACCAACGACAGGATCTATTAAGGATGATGCCAGGGCATGGGGGTCAAAAAGCCTCCCACTGCCCGGGCGCCAAGGGCCAGGTCCCGGGAGCGGCCGCTAGGTCCTTACTCTGGGGGCCTGGCTGTGACCCGCCGTGTGAGTACCCCTCGGCAAAGTGGGGGTCCCGGCTGGGCTTTCCCGCTCGGCCACGCCCGCTCCTTCCGACGGGCTCGCTCCCCGCTTCCGCCACCCGCCCGGCCCGGGGACCCAGACTGGGCGCGCCGGCCTCGGCGACACTCGCCTCGCCTCAACTCCCCGCGTGCACCCGAGGAGACGGCGCCCAACCGCCTCCTCACGCCCCGGGCCCGCCCTCTGCCACAGCGGGGCGCGTCCTCCCGGCACCTACCGCCTCAAGCACCGGGAGGACTTGGGCAGCAGCGTCGCCGCGCTCAGCCCAGACGCGGCGGCCGAGCGGCCCGCTGCCCGTCGGAGAACGGCCTCCGCCGCGCGACCACGCGAGGCCTGGGCGGCTGGGGCGGCTGGTGGGCTGGGGGGGCTTGTGGGCAGGGGGC